CTGCTTCTGTTGGCCTATAAGAGGCAACTTGGCATGGAGGAGAGAGAAAAGGTGCCAGAGTCCCACTGCCAGTTTCCAGTCTTGGATCTGTCACTAATATCTGAGTCTTAATTTCTCTGCATGTCAGGGGGAGAACAACATGACTTCTAGTTCGGCTTTTGTGAGATAGTGTGTATATCTCTGTGCTGTGTGTATGCCTACGTCTCCGAGGAGCAGTTTAGGGCCCTCGAGCCAGAGCCGGGCCCTCACTGACCAAGATGGCTGAGCAGAGGACCTCTACTTTTCTTCCTGGGCAGCTGGAGATGGCATTAGGCGTGCCAGGAGCCCAGAAGGTTCTAAAACGACTGCACCTTGGAGAGGCAGGTAGTTCTAGATAGAGTTCTGGGCCAGTCTCTCGGATGTCCTGTCTTTCCCGGGGGTGGCTCTGTCTCTTGGCTCATCTCTCCTCCTCTCGCTGAATTCTGCCCCTTGGCCCTTGGGGAGGGCCAGCCGGGCCAGCTGGGTTTAGCTGCGGCCAGCTGTGGAGCCAGATGCGAACAGCTGCTTGAGGGGAACCGGCAAGTCAAGTCTTATATTCTGTTAGCCGCAAAGCCCCTCAGAAAGGGGAGAGATTTCATGGTCCTGAAAAAACTCTTGGCCTGGGGTTCCTAGAAGGTTTCTGGGAGATGCAGGGGCCCCTGAAAATATCGTGTGTCTGTGTATTGTTCTGGGAGCAGAAGGAGGGGAGGAGTGTGGTTTTCATCATATTCTCAAAGAAGGCCTTATTCCAGAAGCGGTTAAAAACCCAGGTGTGGACCTCTTTGTTCACCTTTATCTCCGGACCGGATTTCCCCGTCTGCAACATCAGAGCTCTCTCCAACCCAGCTTCCCAGTCTCTGGAAGTGAGGGGTGTGGAGCAGGGCTAAGGACTAAGGACTTTGGGCTTCTTGGCGAGACGCATGAGAAGCCCGGGGGAAGCAGAGGGACTATTCCTCTGGGAGATGGCCCCTGCCCCCAGCCCCCTGCACCTGCTCTGTACTTCCCTCCTGGGAATCCAGTTGTCCTGGTCTGGCCTGACCTTGTGGGCTATGGAAGATACCTCTGGGGCTCTCTCTCCCCTTTGCCCTTGCCTGGAAGTGAGGAGCCTGGGGCAGCGGAGGTGGTTGTGGCTCCCGGCAAATGAGGTCATATCTGAGGTAGGTAGGTAGGAACCAGGCTTGCCTGCTGTGCTCTCCTAAAACATGTGTCCCGGGGCAGGGCAGACGCCTGGCAGCTTCCAAGCCTCGTGCCAGAGGAAATGGGCAGAGCAGCCGCGGCTGCGGGAGAATTCCTGCACGCGTGGTACCCTCTTCCTCTGGCTCTCTCCAGTGACCAGTCCAGGCCAAGGAGGTTTAAAATTGGGCAGGAGGCAGGGGAAGGCTGATCTGGTAGAAAAAGAAGTGGAAGGGATTTGGCCAGAGCTAAACAAAGGAGGAAGGGGATGTCTGACGCAGTGCAGGGGACTGAGGTTAGATGGCACGAAGAACGCCCTAAGGAATCAAACACGGAAAAAATACTAAGGAGCCAGCAAGAGGGAGATGAAATGAGAAAGACTCCTTGTTTGGGGCCAAGGCCTCTTTCTCCTGTCCTCTCTCACTGTCTCGCTGCCTCCAGCTTATTGCTCTGGTTCTTGGGCTGAGTCACCAGAAGGGAGAGGGGGCAGCGTAAGGCAGACGTAGGGGGAGGACGGAGAGGGCCACAGTTCAGCTGCCACAGGAGCAGCCTCTGGGGAGATGGCTAATTCGGGCAGCAGGATGGCGCAGAACTGGGATCCTGCGTCTGGGAGCTGCCCCCACCCGCACCCTGCGGGACTCAAAGGGGGGGGAGTGCCCTGCACGACCCGCTTTCCGGCCTGAGGAGTAAGGCACCGGGCCTGTGGTCTGAGGGCTGGCCCCTCTGGTTCCTCCAAGGTAACTGAAAGCTTCCCACTTGAGTCACCCCAGCGCCCCCCGAAGCCAGGGGCCTGGGAAGTTGAATCTTACAGGCGGTCTCTCTGAGCATCAGCCCACCCCAGGGCCCCCCAGGGGGCCAGCCTGGTGCCTTAACTGCTCCTGGATCCCATTCCCCAGTCTCCTCCCATTCTGCTGCTTTCTGCTTGGCTGTTGCATTAGCTTTGAACCGCTCCGGGAAGAGTGATGGGATGGGGGTGAGGAAGTGCTTTGATGGGACTTGGAGCTCGAGGGACTCCCCAGAGGCCAGGAGGGGGCTGTCTGGCTGGAGCCAAAGGAGAGGCTGAGGAGGCAGCTCTTTGAAAGCCCTTGAGAGGTCATTTCATCCATCCCCCTAGTTCCCAGAGGGCCCCA